ACCTCAAGGGGAGATTTTGTCAAAATTGCAAACCTAAGGGGGATTTAGTGTTGTTTACCCTAAATTAAAAGTTTAAAGTTAAGAGGGTTATCTATGATACCTCAAAATTGAGAGAGATTTATTAGAATTAAAATAGTTGAGAGGATTTTTCTAAGGCCACCATAATGTGGGGTTTTGTAAAATTAACTCTTTTATAAACTAGAGAAAATCTACTTTTAAACTTGTTTGACTTTACAAATATAAGCAAGTTAATTTTGACGGTTCATGTGCTTGTCCCTTGGCTAAATATGGACAAGAATGTCTCAAAGTCTCAAATAAAATTCTCTCCATGCCTTTCTTATCGATTTCTTTACTACTTTCTGAAAAATAACTGTAGACTCACTTTATAGTTTTTGACTATATTGCACTTAAATGTCATATAGCTTTTCTATATACACAAGAACACCACATAATAGAGTATTAAAATGTAACTTTTAGAAGTTTTAGTGTATTTAAGTGAGGCCACCTAAAAACTAAGGAGATTTATATGCAATATTTTAAATTTTTGGAACATTTATCTGCAGCTCTTAAATACTTTGATATATGTATTTGCTCAATTTTATAATAGAGGTCAATTAAGTATAAGGTTGGTAAAACTATAGGGTGTTTAAGTGCAATTTAGACTAGAATCTTTTGAAAATTTGGAAAGATTTTGTGAAATATCAAACCTTCGAGGGGTTTATCTACGGTGTTATAAAGTTGATGATACTTTTGTGCAAATCACCCCAAAGTTTTGGGGTTTTTGTGAAATTTACAAAAAAGAAATCTCCTCTCTCCCAAGGGTAAAAGCCTCCGCGGGTTAACCTGCTCCACTGTCGCCCTCTCTTATTCCTTCACTCTTTATTAAAGAGAGTAATGGCAACGCTACCAAATCCCCTCTTCGTCTTCTCCGATAGAAAAAAAATAAGAAAAAAGATTCTGTAAATTCCAAATCGAGCCATCTATCTCGATCTTGTCCTCATTCTGTTAGGGTTTCCTGGAGCTCAATTCAGCTACAGAGGCGATCTGGAATTTTCTCGCTGAATTAGAGAATTTGTACAGGTTTTTGTCCCCTTTCCCTCTTCCAGCCACAATACGTTGGATTTCTCGTGTTTTTGAATCATAAATAGTGATATTGAGTTGAGATCAGGAGTTAAATTGAATTTTTTCTGTTCGAGGTTTAGTATTAGGATATTTTTCTTTTGAGTTGTTAGGGTTTCAGTGTTTGGTGTCAGGTAAAGGTAGGTTTCTGAAGACCTAAAGTTGCAATCATTGAGACAATTGTTTTCTGCTAAGTTGGACTTTTTAACTTTGAGGGCTTTCATTTGTTTATGGCGTTGTTGCGGTTGCTTTTTATATAAGTAATGGCCTGATGATAAGACTGTGTTTCATTAAAGAAAAAGAGTCTTTAATGATTTTTCTTAGTGCCTGATTGAGATAAAGATACTATCTTTGGAGCTGATGTGTTTCATTAAAAAAAAGAGTCTTTAATGATTTTTCTTAGTGCCTGATTGAGATAAAGATACTATCTTTGGAGCTGATAGGATTGGTGCTTCCGTTGGGAGAAGATGATTGTGATGGTTTTGTTTGTCAAGATGCTTTCTAGCTATCAGAACTAAGGTTAGCATTATGAATGATGTGTTAATAAATTCATTTGATTTTGAAAGTTTGAGTCATTGGGTGGTCAATAAGAGTGCATTCTAACAAGATGGATAGTTATTCTGAAAGATTAGTTCTTGCCCAGAAGGTTAGCAAAAAATAGAGATGTGCAGATATAAGTAGGATAATTCTTTAGTTAATGTGGCTTTTGGATTGTAAATAGAGACTTGAAACTCTAAACTAAAAGGATATGTGCAATGGTCAAAGTTTAGTCTGTGAAGTCGCTTGATGTAATTAAGGAAGATGCCTCCTTGGTGGAATTTGACTATTGCAAATTGCAATAATCTTGTTGGCATGAATTGTCTGATATATATTTTCTGTGCAACTGGTTTAGAGCATCACCACAAGTAAGTTGCATTTCAGTCAACTGTATCAGGAATGATTTATGCCGTTCTCAATGGGTTTAGTTAGAGAAGCATTTTTTATATCAATTCCGAGATTCATTAATTTACGACCATTGTGACACTTATTCTTTAATGTTCCAGATATTAGAATGAGTTTAGGGACAATTGATTTTGTGTGTGTGTGTGTTTTTGTATGTGCATGCGTGCAAAGTTCTAGTTTTACAGCTTCTAACCACGGGCGAATGATTGATGTCATGATGTTAGAGTGCCTGGAAACTAGTTTTTTCTATGCGTTAAAGTCAATAGATTTATCACTAGATATGTCATGAGTTCACAAATGATACCACCATTGTGCATTACTAATAAAATTTCTAGCGATTGACATAAACAAGTATGTCACATGCTCAAAAGTCAAAAAGGAATTTAGAGCTAATTGAGTGTGCATTGATGTCAGGTTAACAGCCTGCCTAAAAAAAATTATCAAGTCTTTCATGGAACTCAGTTTTATAACCCATCCAATTTTGAAGGTAAAGGTGACCATGATAAAGTAGCTAGTATTAGGTGAAAATTTGTGAGAGGCTTGTGTATGTCAATTCGGCACTATATGGAGTTTGTTACTACGTCGAAAAGTGGTGGTTAAACCTTTCATAGACTCTTGCACTCCATCACAGATCATTTTCTAAGGGAATGAAATGATGTAGATCATGCATTTTCCTTTCCCTTATTATACTCCTACTTTTATAAGCTAATATTTTTCGAAGAAGTAATTCAATTAATGAAATCTGTTATCATACTTATGAGATCAATGAGAATGATATTCATATTCTTTTCCTAGAACTTATTGATTTGAACCCATGAGCATGATGATGATGAAATATGCCTGTCTATAGGATTGAAGCTTTAAAGGTTATGGATTGTGTTAGATCAGCTGCTTCCTTTACATTCTTGCTACAAATTTGGAAAAAAATAATCCTCTTTACATGCTTGGTACAAATTGGAAAAAAAAAACTGAACATCTGCATGTATTGGTGATGTTAGTCAGCATAAAGCACATAAGTTTTGTAGGTATCAGATAATTGCTTATTGGTGCGACTGTTGTTGCTATATATTTATCTTTTGCTTCTTACCATGTCCTTTATAGTGCTGATCAAGGCGTCAAATGAAAATTTGAAACTCATTGGAGCATACAGTTCTCCCAATGTACATATTAGATATATGTAGTTTTCACCCCTTTCACTTGATCTGTGTTCTTCTTTTGGAAAATACAGTTGGTCGTCTTTTTTTTTAATACAACTGTTGTTCCGTTCTTTATATATGTATATAGTTTTGTTCTTTATATATATATATATATATATGTGTGTGTGTGTGTGTGTGCGCGCGCGCGCGTGTTCAAACATGCATTTCAACTTCTGGCATTCATGTTTGCCATACTGCTAATTCTTATGATATGCTCATTGTCACTTATTCAAAATTAATTTTGCAACATTAATGCAACTTTGTAACTTTGTCTGCTTTTGTAAGTATATTCATCAGAAAATGAACTTATGTTTCTCATCTTCTTTAGACAGGTTTAATTCTTTTGGTGAAATTTTCACATGTAGAGCATGCAGAAGTTCCTGCACGATGTTAGTTCGTTGAGAATATTGCAGCAGCAACCTCCGAATCATATGGGTAGTAGACGTTCTCAAATAGCAACTGGACAGCACTCTTCCCCTACTGTATATCCAATAAAAAGAGGCAAAATAAAATCTTCAAGGCAAAAAGAGACCAATGCTGTTACTGATGATCCTGAAAAGGCAAAGGCTTCTGAGCACAGAATTGATGTAGGAGACGAGAACTCCAATTTGTTGGGATATAATGTTTACTCTGGGAAGCTTTCCCTTGTTAAAAAATCTAAAAGCTCAAATGCTGATGAGAAAACTGGATTTGCAGCTGCAAACCTTGATAGTACTGATGCCAAGCTTTCAAGCAAAGCACTCGTTTGGGGATCTCAAATGTTGTGTTTTGAGGATGTTATATCTGTAAGTTTGTTCTAGAGATTGGAGTTTGATATGATTTATGGTTTTATATTCAAATAACTATTTACCCCTACTCTTTGAAATTGGGTTAAATACCTCTCTGATGGAATGTATTGGGTATACTCCATCATACTATGTTAAGATGATAAATATTTTTAAGATAAGATTACTAAAGTAATTAAATCAATTTACTTTTAGAGAGAGG